TGGAGTACATTCAGATAAACACATAATCTTTTTAAAGACATTCCAGGTTCATCTCTTCACTTTGATTACTATCTCATTCTATGCAAATGGCCTTGGGCCTTTGGCTAGGTGTAACCAAAAGCTCTAGCCTCTGGATTAATTACTTTAAGAGATAACATTCCCAGGCCCTTTCTTTTCTCTTACAAAGTCTGGTGCTTCTATGAGTCTGGAGCCACTGGTACTACTGCTCTAAAAAAATGAAAAGTATGAAATGTTTTACAAGGGACCATGTCCCCTACATAGCAACAGACAATAAGTGATAATGTTTAAACAGAAAAGAAACTTAAAATTGGATACTTTACACAGTTGAACATGCTCTATCAATTGCAAATAATTTTTAAAAATTTCTTAAGTCTCTACAAAGCACAATATTGTAAGCTTGTGAATTATTTTAATAAATCTTGACCAAAAGAATATGGCTCGGAGTTTGGGCCATAATTCCTTCTGAATTATTTGGAGAGTTTTCATCCCCAAGATTAAATCTTTTGGCAACTCATCGGGACATTTTTCCAGGTTGGAAATAATAGGGGGTGGCGTCCCGTACATTATTTCAAATGGGGTCAGATTCAGCATGTACGGGGTGTTCCTAGCCCGGTAGAGCACAAAGGGAAGGAGAGTCACCCAGTCTCTGCCAGTTTCTGTTGCCAATTTAGATAGGGTCTCCTTTAGGGTTCTGTTCATTCTTTCTACCTGCCCCAAACTCTGAGGGTTATATTCACAATGTAGTTTCCAATTTACCCCCAGAGCCGAGGCCAAGCCCTGGATAACTTTACTTACAAAAGCTGGTCTATTGTCTGATCCTAAAGTTCTGGGTACCCCGTACCTAGGTACTATTTCTTCTAAAATCTTCTTGGCTACTACTATTGCTGTTTCTCCTCTAGTAGGGTAAGCTTCTACCCGTCCCAAGAAAGTGTCTACTAGTACTAGGAGATATTTAAATTCATACTTTCCTAGTCCCACTTCAGTGAAGTCTATCTCCCAGTGATGGCTCGGTTCCCTTCCCCGTACCCTCATACCTGTATGGGTGCTTTTCTTCTTTCCTACTCTCATGAGATGACAGGCCCGACACCAGTCTACCACACTCTGAGCCGTTTGTCTCTGATGGTGTGTGCGGACTTGGCCTTTATTCAGTAACTCCAACATTTTCTGCTCTCTTAAATGAGCCACTTTGTGGAGGTGCGTGAGGAGTTGTTACTTTTCAAAATTTGTCTATTACTTGAGACATCTGTTCCGGATCCAGGTTCTTAAACAACAGGATGGCTTGCATCATATAATCCTGGATTCTGCGTCCTTTTCTTCTTCATCAGGATTATAGGTTTCTGCATATACTGAGGCACTTCTTATGGATCGGTTTATTACTGGAGCGTTGAACGCTCCTGCATCCACGGCCTCTTCTTCCTCTCCGTTCTCGGAGTCGGCGTGCATGGGTTCCTCGGTGAAGTTGATTCCCTTGATGGGGGTGCCACCCCCGGCGGCGGTGCTCGCGTCCCCCCAGGTCCTGCCCTCATGGCCGAAGCGCACAGCCCTTTTGCACTAGTACTCCTCCTGCAGGCGCGTGAAGTGCTGCAGCGCGAACTCCAGCAGATCCGCGGCTGATGCCTCAGCACCTCCACGGTGAAGCCCTGCAGCAACTCTGTCATCCCCACTGGGATTTCGATGCTCATTTTGCTACTCGGGTGGCGGGCGCCTGGGCGCCGAGTCTCAGGGCTGCCCTGCGCGGGCGGCTGCTGCTCTCGCTTCTTCTCAGCTCTGGCCTCGGCCGCACAGCCGCTAAGCTAGTGCAGAGGGCGCTGGCGGCACTACCAGCGGTGAGCGCGGTGCACTGGAGCGCGGAGGCCCTGCTGGCCCGGCCCGCGGCTCTCTGCGTGCGGCTGCTTCGTGCAGCGATGGCGGCGGGAGCAGAGGTGGCTGAGCGAGCACAGCCCCGGGAGGGATGGCACCATCTCCGACTCCTCCCACTCCCCTAGTCGCTGTCTTCTCCTGCCACTAGTGCTCGGAGAGGGGCAGGTTTCTCAAATCTCTGGTTTCTTTTCTTGGGGCATTCGTTCTTCCAGTGTCCGATTTCTTTGCAAAATGCACACTGATTTGTGGTGAGGGGTGGACTTTGGCGGGGCCTGTCATGCTGGTCTAATCTTTTCTCTCTTCCTTTCCCTACTTCTCCTCGAGCCTCAGCAAAGAGAATCTTTGCTAACTCTTTCTGGTTCTGCTTATTTTCTTTGGCCTGGAATTCTCATTCCTCCCTATGCATCCTCTCCTCTCTTTCTTCTGGAGTCTCTCTAGTATTATACACTTTCTCAGCTACTTTCATTAAGTCCTGTAGGGTCTACTCCCCTAATCTGTCTATCTTCTGAAGCTTTCTTCTGATATCAGGGGCCGCTTGGTTTACAAAAGATAGGACCACTGCTGCTCTACTCTCATCAGCTTGCGGGTCCATAGGGGTATACAGTCTAAACGCTTCCATTAACCTCTCTAGATATGCTGCAGGGCTCTCTGTCGGCTCCTGCCTGACTGAGTTTACCTTGGCCAAATTAGTTGGCTTCCTTGCCGCCACTTGGAGACCCGCCATTAGAATATGGTGGTACTTTTGGAGGCGCTCCCTACCTTCTGGTTGCTTAAAATCCCAACCGGGACGAGATAACGGGAACCCAGCGTCAATTAAATTCTGAAGCGTTGTCAGCTGTCCGTTGTCTCCGGGGACATTTTTCCTGGCCTCGGTCAAGATTCTCTCCTTTTCTTCAGTGGTGAACAAAACCTGCAACAGCTGCTGACAGTCATCCCAAGTGGGGTTATGAGTAAACAATATAGAATCTAACAAATTAATTAAGCTTTGGGGGTTTTCAGAAAAGGGGGCATTCTGCGCCTTCCAGTTATACAGGTCCGATGTTGAAAACGGCCAGTACTGCCAGGTTCTGCTTCCGTCCTCACGAGGCGGGCCTATCGCTCTGAGGGGCAGCGCCTGGACAGTGGATGAGGGGGCTTCAGCCTCCTGGGAGCCCCTCTGGCGTGGGCAGAGACCAGAGGCTGGGCCCGTGATGGCGGGCAGCGCACTTGGAGCACTCACTCCACTTCCTCCTGATACTTGTGGAGCCTGGAGAGGGTGGGAAGGTGGCGTAGGGGCATAGGGAGGTGGAGACACGCTACTTTCTAGATCTATCAGATCGGGGTGAGTTTGGGAATCAGACAAAACTGGTGGAATGGCTGCTCGGGACTCAGGTCGTCTCGGTCTCTCCTTTTCACCAGTCCCGAGTGAGGATGTTAACACCTTAACAGAGAGATTTGGAAGGAAAGGTTTTAGCCATGGGGGAGGGTTATTCACCATATCTTGCTACACTAAAATGTAAGGAAATTGGTCCGGGTGCCCACGGAGGCCTGGCACTTGGACTCGGTCAAATACGGCTGCAATCACCTTTCCATCCAACGAGCCTTCTGGAGGCCATCCTACCTTAAGAGAGGGCCATCCTGAAGAGCAAAAAGTTATTAGTTTATTTTTCTTAACTATCACAGACAAATTAGATCCTCTGGTTTTAAACTCTGAAAAATATTCAACCATCAGGGACAGAGGGGTAGTCTGTCCCTGTCCCATTTCAACCTCCTTTAAGAAAACACAGAACAAATAAAAGACAAGTGGCCACACAACAAGAGACACCAAAGCAGACAACACAAATACCTGACACCCAGAAGAGATCTCATTCCAGTACCACAGATTGGAGGTGCCTCTGCTCCTCCCCTGAAGGGGGCTACTCTTACTAAAAAGCACCCACAGCCTGCCTGTTAGTTGGGGAAGGGCTCCTTCCCCAATTCCTCCAGCGTGTCCGCCGGTTCCTGTACCCTTGGATTGGTTCCCTACGCAAGGGATTGATCCCAATCCTGCTGGCTCCTGTTCCTGACCCCTGGATTGGTTCCCTACACAAGGGATTGATCCCAATCCTGCCGGCTCCTGTTCCTGACCCCTGGACCACTATCCTCACGCTAAGGATGTAATCTGGTCTTGCCAGCTCCTGTTCCTGACCCCCACTCCCCTTCTGTCAGGGGCAAGATTCTGGCTCCAAACTTTTCTCCTTCCCGGCCAACGCACCAAATGTTGAGCCCAGGTTAGGAAGGAGTTGGTCGGCGCGAGGAATTTGCCAACACACAACAATGCAAGTGCAAGAAGGAGAGTTTATTGGCTAGCTCGAGCTACGGTCTCTGCTTACATTGACGCAGCGGCTTGGGCAAAAGACCCCGTGCTCTCTTACTATTATATTTTTATAGGAAAAAATATAGGGTGGAGTAGCACCAGGGCAAAGGGGTACAAATGATTGGTTGTTGCTAGGGGATTTAGGGTAGAGCTCTGAGACGTGGGGGGACGTGCTGGAATCTCTGGACTAAAGACTGGTTAGAGAATAATTACCTAGGGAGGATGTAAAGCCCTGATGCGTGGGAGACTTACAGGAGCCAGGTAAAGCTCTGAGGCGTGGGGGGACGTGCAGGAGTCTCTGGCGCTAAAGACTCCTGGTTAAAGAATTACCTGGGGGACATTAGGACTCAGGCCTCACATTCCTTAGGACTCTGGCTAAAGACTCCTGGTTAAATAATTACCTGGAGGGCATTAGGACTCAGGCCTCACAAAGGTTAAGCCACCAGAGTGAGTTCAGTTCCAGGCCCAAAGAAGTTATATACTTTTTATTGTAAAATTATTGAACTTGTCTACACATACAATATTTTAAGTTAAAACAAATCTTCATTATAATCTAATTAAAAAAAAATTATAATAGAGTGGCCACTCATGTACATCTTTTAGGATGATGGTCTCCAATATGTATGTTGTTCTTAATAAATTTGAACATGGTTATCTTTTCAGAGTATATATACTTAAGTTTTGCCACTTTCTCCAAAAGATACTTAGAAATATTAAGTTATAATTAACTGTTCAGTGTAATTTTCATGATAATAAAATATTCATGCGTTTTTCTTTGTGGAAGAGTCAGAATGGATCATCAATACACCACTGTGGCCTTGTGACAGAATGGATGTGCTCAATCGACATAATCTTCTGTGTACAATTGCACATGAGATCTTAGCCAAGAGCCTTTATAGACAGACATTTGAAGTTTTGCAAAATCTACCAGGTTTTCAAAGTTCTAAAGGTATGTTTTTAAAAAGTCTAGCTTAATTATCTTTTGCCCATCTTGTGTTTAAGTGTTAATAAGAAATAGTTCTCCACCTGTTTTGGTTAAGTTTCTTATTCCAACATTTCATTAGTATAGTAGTTTCCTGTAAAATATATTCTCTTGTTGCGTCCAGATCTTGAATCCCCAAAAACCACCAAGGAGCCGATTCCACTGCAAAAGCATAGGGGTTGTTTATTCAAGCTCAAGCTCGAACCGTCAACCGTCACTGACGCAGCGGTTCAGGATTGAGAGCCCTGAACTCAGGTGTAACAGGGTTTTTTATAGGGGTTACAGCAGAAATGAGGACGTTTCAATCAGAAAATTACAGGATTGGTTGACATTTTTCAAGTTGCTAGTTGTTGCTACTTGATTGGCTCTGTCTTGTGGGCCGAAGCCACCAACTGTCGTTTCTAACTATTTTAGGTAAGGTATTTCTCTACCATTTACTGATTGGTTGTTGCTAAGGAGAATGCTTGGGAATATCGATGAGGTGGGGTTAGTTAGGACTCTTTGTGGTTTTTCCAGTAACTAAAGCACTAAAGCGCAAAGTAAATGCTAAAGCATGTTGCAAAATGGCTACATACTTAAAATGGTTACATACAGGGTGGTTATATAGGGACATGGTCTCACACTCTGTAAGTTGAATATGCTTTCTTGATGGTTTGAAAAAGCTAGACATGCTTATCTTTGAGTCGTATGTCAGTAGTTTCTAACAGTAGCATTTCCATCATTCCCTTTCCCCTACCTCTGTCAAGTCAACAGCAAATAATATGTATAAGTGCATGTAGCAAGCTTCATATTTTGACAATGAAGAATACTTTTTCTCTTACTACTTAAATACAAAACATAGTATTACCTTGGAATATAGGTAAACATGGAACAAAGGAGGGAATTAAGTAGATGATAGGTTCTGAGAAACAATACCAGTTTGGGCAGTAGTAATAATGTTCTTGGATGGAAAGCTCCAGGCATATATGGATAGGAAAAGAGATTCCAGGTTAAGGGAAACATGAGGAAAAAGCTTTGGGTCATATGAGACTAGAAGAACTAGATGTTGCCTGGTTACCACTGTTAATCACTTGGAAAAGGATCAATGTAGGAGATCCTGGATACAGTGGGAGAAGAATGTGGAACAGAACTCAAAATCAGGCTTACTGGTCTGATAGAGCCTGGTGAAACCCCTGAGACTATGGGCCCTACTTACCCTTCTGGCTTATAATTGAACTCAATCCTGTAACTTCCAGCCAAACAATAGACAGGCATATAGGGTGAACATTTATACCAGGTAGATACACTCCTTAGAACAGTCAATCATGGGAGATCAGAAGGGCAGTATTTGCACAGAGAGATAGCTCAAGGGGCAGGAGTGCATAGGAAAGAAGGACACAGGGAAGAAGTAACTATGGCAAAGAAGTGGGAAGAGAGCTGTTATATTGTAGGGAATTTCAGTGTCATGAAACAAAATGTGTATGAACTGCTATATGGAAAATGAATTTGCTCTGTAAACTTTCACTCAAATCACAATAAAAATTAAAAGAAAAAAGCTTTGGGCCAGGTTTGTGCTCGATGGGCTCAGAGAATGATGAAAATATTAGTTTAAAGGCCTCCCCTCAGTGCTTTTGTTGTATCATCTATAAATATCCATTTTTCCATTTATTCTACTGAGAACCTTGTATTTATCATTTTTGTCTATTTCTCTTTCTAGATAATGAGCTCTTTAAAGGTAGTGATAGTTTCTTTATCTTGGTGTGTCCCCAGCACAAGAGCTGCTATAGAGCAGGCCCTTAATATAAAATTATGATGACAATGAAAGAAAGTAGTAATAGTAAGATAGTTGTGTCAGATTTTGGAAGACCGTGAAGGGGTTTTTTCTCTATGTATAGTGAAGGGTCACTAGAGGTTTGGGGTTACGAAAGGATGTAAAAGTTCATGTTTTAAGTTCCTCCTGTGGTAATGTTTAGGAAGAGACTAAAGGTTAAGGAGACTTGGGGAATAGAAATACCAATTTTAAATATTTTTTTTTAATTTGAGAGTTTGTTTTAAAAATGTGAGTGTTTGTTAGGGGATGATTAATTTTTACTCATGTGGAATATAAAGCTGACATCCAGAATGAAGTTGATAATGTAAAAGAAGTCATGAACGCAAGCATTTGAGACACTGCAGCTGCACAGTCAAAGGTATGGACCATGTATAGAGAGATTAATGCAGCCTCTGAAATGTTTTTCAAACTTCCTTTCATGAACTCCATCACAGGGAAAATCAACTATTTTACTTCCGTTGAATGCTTTTTTTTGTTTGTTACTTAGAGAATATGTAAGATGATTGCATTCCAACAACTGAGACTCTCATAGTGATAGGAAAGGGCTAAGGAGAGAAGAGGAAAAAAGAAGGCAATTTAAGAGAGAGGAGTATGAGAAACTAAGCTAGACCAATTTGGCTATATCAGTTTTTCTTCTTTCATTTCAGAAACTGTGGACGTCGCACAATATAGCCTTCTGTTTAATAAACTTCTGGAGTCCTGTATGGAAAGCAACAGTCTTGGAATGTCATCCTCTGTAGCAGAATTCATGATTTCAAAGAGTATCCCTATTGATTTTTCCTTTCTTAGAAGATTAATTACTGCTCTAGGAAGGAGTTGTTTATGGCTCAAAGCCAGAGCCCACTACAAAAGTAAGTTACATGTGAACGTTTTTACTTTGATTTATTGATTTTTAATTTAATATTTTTAACCTAGGATCCATTTAGGAGCTCTGGTGGCATAGTGCCCAAGGCATTTGATTTCTAACCAGAAGGCTGGTGGTTCAAACCCACCAGCCACTCCTTGGAAGGAAGTCTGAGCTATCTATTTCCATAGAGATACCACCTCGGAAACCCAAGGAGGGGTCGCTGTGAGTGGGAAACAACTCAATGGCAGTGTTTGGCTTAGAGTTTAGGATCCATTTGTAATGTTTAAAACTAGACATTTAAAGATAAATTTTTTTAAAAAAAGCAGTTGATATAAGTGAAAAGATACTGGTCTGAACAGATCTGTGTTCTCTTTTGAGGTACATTACTTCTGTCCTAAGGTGCATCTTTATTTCTTTGCACCTTATAGCATGAGGGTAAGCCAAGGAAATAAATGACAGAATTCAAAACAGTTTTTGCATACCTCACAAATAATAAAGGAGTAAAACAATTCAGTAAAACGAAGTTTAAAGAATTCTCTCTATATTTTACTTACCTCTTCTATGTACCTGATCTGTGGATTTGATAGCTGGCTCCATAGGAAGTACAGAGACTGCCATTACAGTGCAGCATGGTATATAACAGTCTCTTTCATGGCTCCTCCTAATATAATTTTGTTAATCCAATTAGCTGCTTCCATAAGCATATAAACCATAAGCATATAAAACTAATGCTTTCTCTAGTCCCAGCCACCTTGTAGGTATTTTAATTAGAAAGTACTTCCATATAGAAGCTAAAAAAGGGTTCTTTTCTGCCTTCATGCAGTAATTTGTCTTAAATTTCCATTTCTACCACTGTCCTGTATATAGCAAACATTTGAGTGTCTACTATGTGTCACTACTGTGCCAGATGTGCCAAACATCCCAGTCATCCTTACCTACACAAAAACTTCTTGTCACTTAGAATCCAGTAGTGTTTTTCAGACTACAAGCTGTGATCCATTAGTGAGTTGCAAAGTCAATTTAGCAGCTGATAACATTTTTTCCTCCAATGAAAGAGAAAAGAAAATAGTAGGGCATATTACAGGTAGTAAGGATAAATATTATTTGATAAAATTTTCTTTTCAGTTAACATATATGTGCATTGGCTTATTATGTAAAATATTTTTCTTATTGTAGGTTACAGTCAAAAGTAGCGAACACAACTGCACTAGAGCAATTTTTTTAAGGAATGAAATGGAAGGTAGAAATTGTTCGTAACACCTTATTTTGATTTTGTGGTTATGTTTCAACTTTCTTTATACTATTTCCTGTAGACTGCCAGAAATCACACACACCAAGTTTGTATGTATTGTTTACTGTAATTTTCTGCTTTTAGTTGTTAGAATCAATTTTAATAGGATTATTCATTTTTCAAATAACTAATTTTGCAATTTGGGGAAAATACCAAACAAAAGACATATGACGGTATGCAACAGGCACAAAGTATGAACTTGGAAACATTTCATTGACATTCTGTTTTTTAGTTAGAAATAAAATTCTTTATTAAAGCTGTAAACTTAAATTATTTTTAATGTTTATTAACAGCTTTATTGAAATGATTCACATACATACAATTTAAAGTACATAGTTCAGTGGTTTTAAAAGTTGTGCAGTCATCATCACAATCAATTTTAGAACATTTTCATCACCCTCAAAATAAACCCTGTACCTATTAGCAGTCGCTCTTCACTTCCTCAGATCTCTCCAGCCTTTCTTTTTGAAGATTTAATTTTAGTGTTTGTTAAAAGTAATTGATGCCTTTGTATGACTCAGTACATTTCTTATTAGCACTTTTCTTTTTATCTAATCACACCTATGCTTATTTCATATGCAGTGAAACTTTGGGGACTTAAGCAAGTGCTACAGTCTTTTTTTTTTTTTTTTCAAATATATCTGAATTATAAAACCACATGAGTAATTTATAGCCACTGATAATCTCTCAAACATCTAATTTCCTTATAGTGTTGACACTTCAAGTATCATTGGACTTCCCTTTGAATTTATCTTCAGATATAGCTTAAGGCTTGCAAGGAAAGCCTTTCATTACCCTATAATCACATCTAGGTAGTACTGGATTCTGGGCTTCAGGCTCATTTTTGTCAAGGTACTGTTAAGGCTGTGGTACCAGTACCTTTTTTTTTTTTTTTTTTACTTTTATTGTGATGAAAATAGACACAACAAGACATTCACCAACATAATAGCTTCCACATTTATAGCTCAGGGACATTGATAACATTTTTCATTAGCATAAACACAGTGCCCTGCAAACAAAAGTTTCTCCTTTCCCTCTCCCTCCTACCCCTGGTAACCACTTTTTTTTTTTTTTCCAACCTGTCTAGGAATTTTCCCTCCCCTTCCTTCTTATCCCTGGAAGCCAACAAAGAAATTTTCCTTCCATATATAAACCTTTACTTGACTTTTTACAGTAGTGGACTAATAACAATATTTGTCATTCTGTGATTGACTTATTTTACTCAGCATAATGTCCTCCAAGTTTATCCACGTTATGCAGTGTTTACATTATTTTTTAGTGTTGCATAGTATTCCATTATGTATGTGTATGTGGTCCAATAACTTTTTTATAACTTTATTTTTTATTGTAACAGCTTTATTATGATATATTTCACATTTAAAATATACAGTGCACTGGTTTTTAGTATATTCAGAGTTGTGCAGCCATCCCCACAATCCAATTTTAGAAAACCTTCAACACCTACTAAAAGAAGCCCTGTACACAGCAGCTGTCATTCCACATGTCCTCACTGTCCCTCTTCCCTGCCCCAGTCCCAGGCAATCACTAACCTACTCTCTGCCTCTATGGATTTGCCTATGGTGGGCATTTCACATAAATAGAATCCTTCAGTATGTAGTTTTTTGTGATTGGTTTCTTTCACTTTTTACACAGTGTTTTCAAGGCTCATTGACTATATATAACATGTATCAGTATTCCACTGCTTCCTATATAGGCATAGACAGACTGAGTGCTTACCCAAGGCCCCTCACCTCTATGACCTAATTTCAAAGGGAGTAAGTTGTCAAGATAAAGTTAGATAAAACTTATAATGTGTTTAGCACAGGTACCTGGCACATAGTAGGTCCTCAAAGATTAGACATCATTATTTACATTAGAAAAATTTTTTGACAGGACTTAACATAGCATTTTAAACTAATTTTGCACACAGATTTAAACTGGTTTCAGTGAAATACAACAGACACAGTAAATATTTACTGCACAAACTATAACAGTACTGTTAAATAAGTCTACTCAAAAATATAACTGTTTGTTACACTGCCATATGAATAAATGTATTTGGCATTGTAGTATATACCAAACTCTCTGCTGTTGAGTCAATTCCAGTTCATAGTGACCCATAGGACAGAGCAAAACTGCCCCGTAAGATTTCCAAGGCTGTAAATCTTTATGGAAGCGGACTGCCACGTCTTTCTTCTGTGGAACAGCTGGTAGATTTTAACTACCCACCTTTTGGTTAGCAGCCAAGCACTTAACCACTATGCCACCAGGGCATGGTGGTATATACATGGTCATTTTTCAAACTGTGACACAAATTAATAAGTAAATGGATTCAAAAGGTGAATTGAAGGCACCATTGGAAGGCAAAACTAAAAATAGTAAAAATACTATAATAACTATTTGATAGAAATTAAAATACTGGTATTATAATTTCCATCTTCTTTCTACAGTCATAATTCAGGATAGGCAATAATTATAAATATATTACATATAGTTGCTATTAGAAAAGATCCCATTAAAACCCAAGTAGCTATTTTGGCTGTTTATTTATTTATTGTGTTGACTACGGCATGAAATAAATGGGCAGATTGAGTACACAGATACTGCAGATAGTTTTGAAAAGGTTGGTTGATAAAATCTAACTGCTCAAAAGTCATACTTCACAGAGGTTCTTTTTTATTTAATTCCTCACTTCATATTTAATGTTTCAAGATATATTACAAAGAATAGTTATAAATGGAGTAGGATTAGTTCATTACCATAATTTGTGTAACAAGTCTGCTTCTAATGTGAAGAATTACTCTGCAATATAAGTAATTATCATCTGTATTTTGAAAGACTAGATTTTTACCTATTGGGGTTTTAGTAAAGTTTGATTTGATCAATTATTTTACTTTCAGGTGCTCTCTCTTTGGGCTGCTATCCACCATTGGAAGGAAATTTATACCGAAAACTTCTGCTGATTCCTTCTTACTTATCTGAGATTGAAATGCTTTTAGCTATCGAAATTTTCCTAGTATCTAATGCTAGTAGTATTCAGAGTCCTGGAACTTCTACACAGATACTGCAGATAGTTTTGAAAAGGTTGGTTGATAAAATCTAACTGCATTCTGAAATTGTGGTTCACCCAACCTGTCCTAGGATGTTGTGCATGTGTGTGAGTGTGTGTGTGTGTATTTACAAACTTTGGTAACATTTCAATTGAGAAAGGACTTAATATAGCCTGTTTAAATCTTAAAAGTAAGTAACTAAGTAGCACTCGGGAGCTCTGGTGGCGTAGTGCCTAAGGCATTTGACTGCTAGTCAGAAGGCTGGCAGTTCAAACCCACCAGCCACTCCTCAGAAGGAAGACTGGCAATCTACTTCTATAGTGATACTGCCTTGGAAACCCAAGGAGGGGTTGCTGTGAGTAGGATCTGACTTGAAAAGGTCTAGCAACTTCAGAGGTGTTCCTCTTTAGTTACTGATCATTCATATTTTCAGATTGCTACTGAAAAGGTATTTATCTTTTTGGTCAACCGAAAAGACCTAAGAACCAGATCTAAAGGGGAAATAAATGATACTTCATTAGGTTCAGTAAAGAATACCATTAAAAATTGCTAGATAGAAATAAATAAATAAAACCATCAGCCTAGGTTCCGTATTTTTAAATGTTGTTATAAAGTCATAAATAATATAATGTAGGTGTTGAATCAGGATGGTAAGCTTTAAATAATTTTGTTCAAAGTCCCAGAATTTAGACTTATACCACCCCAGTGTATTATCAGCCTTATCTAAGAAACTTGTTTTATAAGGATCTCATGGGACTCCTGTTTTAAAGCTTGAAGATAATTTTGCTTCAGTTTACTGATGCTACAAACCAGGGCCTCAGAGTGAACATTATATTAGTTATCTAAGGAGCTCTGGTAGCAAAGTGCCTAAGGCACTTGACTGCTAACCAGAAGGCTGGAGGTTCAAACCCACCAGCCACTCCTCAGAAGGAAGTTTGGGCAATCTATTTCCGTAGTAGGATCCCTCAGAAACCCAAGGAGGGATCGCTATGAGTTGGGGCCAACTCAACGGCACATAACAATATTACTGTGTAATATGTTATCCTAAAATTTAGTGGCTTAAAACAACAAATATCGTCTTAATTCCTGTAGGTCACAAATTTGGGAGCACCTTAGCTGGATGGCTCTGGCTCAGGCTCTCTCATGTACAGGCAGTCCCAGGTTACTAACATCACTTGTGGACAACTCATATATGCCCTTTAATGTTATGTAAGTTTGCCCTCACTTTGAAACAAGTGAACCAAACCCAACTGGCAACAAATTGTTCATCACAATCACCTTCACTTGCTGCATGTGTAGCTTTTAAATCATTGAAAAGGCTTCTAGCCTTTTCTTGGACTAAAAGCACCCACTGCCATCGAGTCATTTCCAACTGATAGCAGCTGTATAGGACAGAGTAAAACTGCCTCCATAGGGTTTCTGAGACTATAAATATTTACAGAACTAGATTGCCACATCTTTCTCCTATGGTGCAGCTGGTGGGTTTGTACCACTGACCTTTTGGTTAGCAGCCATGCACTTTAACCACTATGGCTTCTTTTTCTTGTACTAAATAAAGTAAGGCTAAATAAGAACCGTATGCACCTGTTCTGACTTACCTACAAATTCAACTTAAAGACACACTTAGGAACAGTCTTATTCATAACCCAGGGACTGCCTGTAGTTGCAGTCAGGATGTCCTTGGGGCCAAAGTCACCTGATGGCTTGATTGGGGCTAGAGAATCTGTTTCTAAGATGGCTCAGTCACATGGCTGTTGGCAGGAAGCCTCAACTCCTCACCATATGGTTGCTTGAATGTCCTCATGACATGACAGCTAACTTCACCCAGAGTGAGTGATCCAAGAGAGGACAGGCCAGGTGGAAACTGCAGTGCCTTTCATGATCTAGGTCAAGACCTAAAGCTTCTGAGATTTTACCCTCTGGTGGCTTAGTGGATAAGGCATTTGGCTGCTAACCAGAAGGTCAGTGGTTCAAACCACCTAGCCACTCCATGGAAGGAAGATGGGGCAATCTACTTCTGTAAAGATTAACAGCCTCAAAAACCCCATGGGGAGTGCGATGAGTCATAATTGACTTGATGACAGTGAGTTTGGTTTGTTTTTTGTAATTTTACAAATTAGCCTGCCACAGTTTGATGGATACTAGCATAAGACACAAGACTCATGGGTTGGAGACTGAGGAGTTTATTATTCAGGGCACAGCAAGTAGCATGATTACTCACATACTTTCCTCAATTCCTCTTCCTTTCAAGTCCTACAGATGGGTCCAGATGGATGCCTGCACATGCAGTGGGTTGTACTACAGGAAGGGAATCCTGGGTTTAGGGGAACCCAAATTTTTTTAAATGAGCAGTAAGCATGCCTGCCCTTTGTGCTGGAGGGAGACACTATCTTTATCTTCTAAGGCTATAAACCTGCCCTTTGCTTCAGAGGGAGAAATTATCTTTGTCTTTCAAGGTTTGTTAACTCTGTAAACATCCTTGAAATGATAAATGATAGTTCAGAACAAAGGTAGTCTGTCCGCTTGGGTGGGGGGGGGGGTTGACCCATGGAGAATTCTTATCCAACAACCTAATGCCAAAGGTTTAAACACTGTCACTTCCACTTTATTTCTTATAAGCGAGTCATGTAGTGCAGCCCACACTTAAGTGAATGGCAGTTAGTTTCCACTTCCTGAAGGAGAGAGTATCAAAGAATTTGTGAACATGTTTTAAAACCACCACAAATACTAAAATATCATCTTATTTTGCAAGGTGTCAGATTGTCTACTTAAATGATTGTGAAGGCATCTGGAAGATTAATCAAGCAACAAAAAGAAACTTTTTTTAAAAAATCTTGTATAATGGCGTAGTGTCTGAGGCATTTGACTGCTAACCAGAAGGCTGGAAGTTCAAACCCACCAGCCACTCCTCGGAAGGAAGGTTGGGTGATCTGTTTCTGTAGTGATACCGCCTCAGAAACCCAAGGAGGGGTCGCTATGAGTCGGATCCGACTCGAGGGCAGTGAGTTTGGTTTTTTTTTGGTTTGAAAATGTATTACTCTTATTTACTTACTTTTAGGCATTTTTATTTATGAATGTTTTTACATAATTGCAGTTATAGTAAACATATAGTTTATTTCAGCATTTTCCATGTTGCTACATAGTCTTTATAAAGTTTATTTTGTATTCATGTATAATATTATAAGTAGATTGCCTTAGTCCTTTAACTGTTCCCCTATTGTATGTTTAGAAGCCTTCCAATCCAAAAAGAAGTTAGGTTGTTTTGTTCGTATATTTGATTTAAGGAATCTCTCAAAAAAACAAACCAAACTGACTGCCCTTGAGTTGATTCCGACTCATAGTGGGAATTGTAAATCTTTACAAAAGCAGACTGCCTCATCTTTCTTCCATAGAGCAACTGGCAGATTCAGACCATCGACCTTTTGGTTATCAGCTGAACACCTTAAGCACTGTACCACCAGAGCTCCTTTTAAGGAAACTAAACCAGTTGGGGAAAAAAAAAAAAAAACACTGCCATCAAGTTGATTCCAGCTCATAGCAACCCCCATTGGGTTCCAATTCCAAGGCTGTAAATCTTTTATTTATTTTGAAAGCAAAGAGATTTATTAAAGGTTCAAAAACAGTTTGAACTAGGGATACGCCTGATCTCACAAAATGAAATCAAATGCTCCAAAATGGTAGAGTAACAGAGGCATATTTATTGGGGTAAAATCAAGAAGTAAAGGTATGACATTCTGATTGGAAGTTGCAAGATCAGGGAAACCAGAGGTGGGACAATTCAAAGCAGAGGCTTCACAATAATTGTTAGGAAACACAAATGAGGGCTATCTGGATTGGTTAGTTCAAATACATAACTAAGGAGGGTTTGACAGGATAGTCACAAGGTACCATAACCAAATTCATTGCCGTTGAGTTGGAGCCAACTCATAGTGACCTCTTTGGGTTTCCGAGGCGGTATCACTACAGAAGTAGATTGCCCAACCTTCCTTCTGAGGAGTGGCTGGTGGGTTTGAACCGACAGCCTTCTGGTTAGCAGTCAAATGCTTTAGGTATTATGCTAACAGAGCTCCTAGTCATAAGGTAATTATTTTAAAATATTTACTGAGGGGTGCTGAGGGAATTTTTTTTTAATTGTGATTTGGGTGAAAGTTTACAGAGCAAATTCATTTTCCATACAGTAGTTCATACACACTTTGTTTCATGACATTGACTGCAGTTCCCCACAGTGTAACAGTTCTCTTCCCACTTCCTCCCTATAGTTACATCTTCCCCTATGTCCTTCCCACCCATGCACTACCATCCTCTTACCCTGAGCTATCTCCCTGTGCAAACACTGTCCTCTGTTCTCCCATGATTGATCACTCCAAGGAGTGTATTTATGAAGGCTATAAATCTTTATGGAAGTAGATTGCCTCATTTTCCTCCCTCAGAGCAGCTGGTGGGTTTGAACCACTGACCTTCTGGTTAGCAGCCATATGCTTTACCCACTATACCACCAGAACTCCTTTTAGGGGGAACCTAAAGGGATAGATATAGACAATTATATTTCTTAGACTTTCTGCATTAACCTGTGAGAGAAACAACAAGTTGGCACTATGTTTTAACTGTGGTATTAACTCCTACTATGGTATACTGGGAAAACAGTGCCCTAAGGACTTTGGAGACAGAAGCTGTGGGTTCTCACCCAACTCCATACCTCGCAAGGTGTTTGAAAGAACTCTTCCTCAAACTTAACTCCTAGCTGTTTACAAAGACAGCCCATAGTTTATCGTAATTGGGGGAGAGAATATCAGTATTATTTACTACCACTTTGCCTCCTGAACTTGGTATGCTAGGAAAAGCACTGAGTGGACTTTTGTATTTCGGTTAGCTATTTCTAGAGCAAATGTAAACTTCCATTGGCTCTTCTCCCTTATGTAATAGTCACTTACCTTGAATAAGTTACTATAAATCGTGTACAGAAACCACATTAACAGTCTGAAGGTATAACTGTATAACCAAAGATTCTTACCTTAAAACTTTGCCAAAAAAACC